GCTGCCTTTAGGCAAATTCAGGTCATCCGTAAAGTGGTTTGCACATAACTTAAATACGCTTTGTATCACCGTTCATTTTTATGTTTAGGAAGTGTAACTGAATAACAGTATGTGTGTGTGTGTGATTGTAGCATCCTCGACACAAACTACAGAATACTCATGAATCGTATGAGCTTTGATCTGCACCAGAGGGTAATAAGTCACGGCATAATGCCGGCTAACCACGCAGAAGTTTCTAGCCCTATTTCTGGTCAACGCACTTCTAAACTACACCCAATTCACTAGCCGTTAATAACTACGGAAAATAGGTTGGCAACCTTACCCTTCAAACTTTCACACGAAACTGAAACTTCACATCTTAAAGCTCTATGTTCTGCTCGAAACGCGTGAAATGGAAACGACTATAACCAGACGTTGCCATTTTACAGTAAACATAATTAACTCGGGAGTTCCTATTTTTTAAAACTTGACTCGGCATGAAGCGATGTGTACAACTACCAAAATGAAGCAAATGAATTACGGCGACGAGGTGGGTAAGGGAGACTATCTAGACAATCACTGACAATCTGTTATACATTTAAGCAGTCAAAATATGAAAAAAATTGAGCGAGCATATTTCATAGGATGATGCAGTTTTTTACATTAAGTGGAATCAGTTGATGACATACAGTCTGTGTACTAGAGTGTAGTGGTCTTGGTCCATTACAACACCGAGGAGAATTCACTGAATGGATTCTGTTCAATATACCTTCCAGTGGTTTCATCACTGAAACATGTCAACAAAATCTGAACTTTTACTTTATCTAAATCAGTTATACGTAACCAGGATTGATAATGGCAGCTTACTGATATTAGCAGTGACAACAAAGTCAATGATGTACAAAATGCTGTAAAATAATAATTATAATGTTATTATCTAAAATTATATTTTAACTGAAATGTTGTCACCATAAAATACAAACAGGAGAGAATACCGACGTTTATCAAAAGAAAATCAGTAGATGCAATCATTCTGAATGAAAGCAGACTCGTGTAACTCGTAGTTTTTTCATGCATTGTATGATCAAACCACAGACCACGCAGAGTTTTTGCATAATCAGCTTTAACTGAAGGTAGAATGAAGTGAAAAGATTTCAGCTAGTGAACTCTAGATTACCAGCAGATGCTCTGAGTACAGTGAGAACTCATTCCTCTTCATGACAAACGCGAGAAATCTTCGATAATTCAAGTGGAATGAATACCTGAAGATAATAACTCAATCAAAAGAACTCTAGACTGGTGGCATGAGGACTACAAGTTTCATTGGATACACCTGTCCATGTCAAGCTAGCAGTGTCCTTACTTTTTCATGCGTTATCCATTTTTAATGAGACAGAATTCAGATATTTCTTTTAGAAAGGCTCTATCAAATCTGTAACACACGGTAATAACGGGGGGACAAACTTAAAACAGTTTTAATGTGAACGCCGTTAGGTCTGGAAAATGTCGGCTTCTTAACCTTTCTTTGCTGATATTAGATGACTGGAGGCAATCGGCAGGAAACCTTGGACCTAGGACACATACAGTTCGACAGTGGACAGTCATGAGCCTGAATAGCTAAGTGGTAACGTCTCTGATTGCAGCACTGCGTGATGCAGGTTCAAGTCTCAGGAGGGACATTAGTTCCTTCAAGGTTGCAGACGCGTGTTGCTGACGAGTGCCAACTGGCACGAAGCCTAGGTCAGACAAGGCTTCCTGCTAACTGTCTCCAACCACCTAATGACAACAATTCAAAGTGCACCGTGACAGTGAGCCACCTAGAATTATGGTCACATTGCAAACTTGACTGGCAGAATTCAGTCTGCACAAAACAAAAGACTAGACTAGTTACTAACTGGTGTCCAATCAAAGTAAACCGTTCTTTTCATAGAACACTGAAGCTGCATTTCGAGAAATGGAAAAGTCTGATATAAATCCAGACAATAGTTATAGTTTTATTCGTGTTTCTTTAAGAGTTTTAATGTTTATCTTTGTCACTTATTTCTTTCCAAGTCCTTGGCATAGTTCATATTTAAAAGTGAGTCCTTTTTCTTCAATAACTTTAAGTGTTCTAATAACAGGAATATGGACAAATTTGGGAGTGTTGGTTATTCTGAGTGTGAAATAAACTGGGTAATGTACAAGCGATTTACTTGAATGACTAAGAAATAAGATGCTGTGTCAGTGTGAAACAACTGTTGTTAAAAATTAATGAGTAACCAGACGGAAGAATTCTACTGTTAGCGTAGAACTTGAGCACTGGTGGAATGTAATTCCACATCAGATAAGTTTATGTTAATTATCACACAGTGATGCAGTATTAACAACTGGTTGATGCGTTGAGCATAAATTATTGCGCATAATCATATCAATTTAGTCAGTTTAGAAGATTTAAATAATGAAATCAAAGAAATAAAGGAAATATAACTCGTGAATAACTACCCACCAGAATTTATTCAGAAATATATGAAGAACTATAGAAAAACGAAGACTAGCAATAAAAGTGACGAAAATAACGAAAATAATATAGAATCCAAAGCCTCCTTAACATTGCCGTATAAAGAAGAGATGTCAGAGGCCTGTGTCGGCTTACAGATCCAATAGATTCAATTCAAAAAAATAATGTAATTTATCAAATATCATGTAATGACTGTGAGGTCATTTACATACGTTAAACTAGTAGATCAGGGTCAACTAGACAGTTGCAACATAAAAATTAAGATAGACCTAGAATAATTGACCCTGCTAAGTTAAATAACCTAGAAAGAAGCTCAGCCATTGCACTGCATTCACTTGTATATAACCACAAAATAGAGTGGGATAGGATGAGAGTGTTCAAAAGTAATATAGTTAGGTGGAGTGAGAGGTTAATTCCTGAAGCTTTGTTTATCAATTCAACACCGCACACATGCAATCGGAGTGACGCAAAGACTATACCGGAGATATGGAAAGTGGCAACAAATAACAGAGAGAAGCTAGAGAGGCGGAGTAGAGGAATATATATATATAAATATATATATATAAGACAAATTGTGAGAACTTGTGATATGATTATGAGCAATAATTTATGCTCAACGCATCAACCAGTTGTTAATACTGCATCACTGTGTGATAATTAAAATAAACTTATCTAATATGGAAGAACTCCATAACTCAGACAAATAATAGACTCTCTAGAGAACTTCGTTTTCTGCTGGCTTGGAGATAACAACGACTGTGTTGTCGAAATGGTCATGGTTGACGTGCCTTTCATCAATGCGTATTTTCGTATAAAACGATATGCTATTTAATGGTAAAAATGAGTAGTCATATACCACTCGTATAAAATAGTAGCGCTCTCTAGACAAAGTGTGTACGTTGCAAATCGTTAACTAGTTCGCAAATTGTGAATCTGATTTATATGGTAGCACCAGTTCGCCCAAACAGACAACCTGAAATCAGGTGGTTTGAACTGATTAGGCTCTCTGAGTTGAATCAACCAGGATATTCCGACATTAGGTGCGACCACAAACGAGAGAAGCAACCGTTTTGTGTTTTTGGATTACTTCATTCCGACTAGCAGGCACTAATATTTGATAAGAGTGATATACGACTATTCATGCCAATCATTCAGTAACATATAGTCACATGCAAATAGGCTTGCTTTCTTCATCACCATTTATGGTATCAAGCAGATCACATATGTTGTGATCTGAATAATGCCAGTAGTCAAAAGAAAGTATGTTGAGATTTACCCCCTCGAACTGTGTACACTGCCAATTTTCAACTAATTTGCGAACTTTGAATTTTGCTTAATGCATAGGAAGAAACTTTGCCTACAATTAACATAACTTTTAAGACAGTCATCAGAACTAATACCAACATACAAGACAATCAACATTCATCCATTTCAATAGTGCTTAGTTTGTTCAACAGTCAAGTTCTTATGAAGTCAGTTAGTCTGACAATGAAATGTTCATGGTTATACCACTAGACTGAATGAACCTCCCATAAATATCAGCTCTAGCTGTATGTACGGTTATACTTCTATGCGGTAGCTAGGTTTAGACTTTTTCCTTACTTGTATCTAGTAAAATTAATGGGAATGAAAACATAGTAAACCCCATTGCAAGTGTTATGGAAGTAAATATTGCATTAGACATTGCACAACAATAATTGAACTAACTGTCTAAAGAAATAGGAACTGCGAGAAACACTCATTCGGTTTAAATTTTTTGATTATCCACAATCTTGAGGGCAACACAATCGCATTATTAGTGAAAAACATATATATCATGATGAAATCCTCCAACCAATATATTATTGAGTTTGATTTTCGAAGACTGAGGTGCTAATGCATGTAACCAGCATTTGAACATTTACTTATTGTTACTCTCCCCTTAGAACAATAAGTATTCTCCGAAGTCTAATTACGGGACTAGTAGTCAGCCACTGGATTTGCATTGCTCTTATTAAGGATCAACTCTTCACAAAAATTTGTTGCCTTTCTCACGAATCCTCCTTTGATTTTATTCCCTTTGGAACACAGGGCTTCAAGCTGGAGGCTTGGACTTTCCGTCATAGTGGTGTTTACTTTTCACAGGATGGGATTGCTAGCTTCATGCCCAACCTTCCATCTTTACCAGTCGTATAACTTTTTGATTATAGCTTGAAACCACACAGTATTTTTGGTACAAGTATGGAAATCTCAGCATGTGATATCGGTAGCTTAAATTTTACAGGCCGACCATAGATATCAGGTGTGCATCGGCAGGGGATCGAACCCCGGATCATGTGCATGGTCGGCGAGAGTCCTAACCACTGCGCTTCCGACGCACAGGCTTAGTAAGGTAAAAGAGTGCGTCGGCCAGGGATCGAACTCCGAACCACCACCACCACTACAGATACTTACTTATCCATAAAGGACAACTATTTTATAATTAAGATATATTAAATGTTCACGGTACATTATTTTAAAATATATAAAGAAAATCACTCATTCACTCATAAGGATACAACAACTAAACACGGAAAACTGTGTTAGTGAGTAGAGCATGGAAAACGATTATTAGAGTAAAAGTAATTCATCTCAGTCATGAAATTTCATGTGTGTGGACAAGTCATGGAAAAGAGAATTAAAGAAACAAAAGAAATAGACAAGTGTAACACCGCACCTGGAAATGCATCGGTTAAAATTAAAGTCCTATGTAAGTACACAAAACATACGAAAATAAACACACACACAGAGAATGGTAATACAGAGAACCAAAAAAGAAATAGTGAGCAGGCAGAAGGAGTACAAACACGAATTGTTGTTTAAACATTGAAAATTTTAATAACAAAGATAAAGCTTGATGACATTTTCACGCTGATGAGATCGGAATGCATAAAATATCCCAATGTAAATTAAAATTAATATGCGGAACAATGAGACAGGACAGAGACTAGAATCTATTGTGTTTATTAGTTGACAATTATCCACCAGAAAGTCAATTAACAAAATCACTGAGGTGCTAGGTACATAAATACGCAAAACACCTTCAGCATTCATCTCCTCGCAACAGTTACAGCACCGCCATTATTATCAAAAGAAGCAGTAGCCGCACCAATAGGAAAGGTAGAGATAGGTCCTACCATTGAATAAAAAGCATTTTGTGATATAGTATTAAAAGCATATAAAATATGTAAGAAAACAAATACTGTTAGTAAAAAAAGAACATTCACCAAGAAGCATAATTGAATACAAGGAACACTGGTTGAATCCACTATTAAACTGTGATGTAAACTACTTTTCAAAGTAGTACGCAAGTTCACAAGTGGTATATGACACAGACATTGATATAAGCTAAATAGGAAACGAAACAGTGAAAATGTAGTAAACAAATAAAAGTTTAAGTTATAATCATAAATACTAACGATAAAAAATGAAAAGAAACAATGAAAGGGGGGGAGAAGGGAGAAGGGTAGGTGGATGTTGACTTAAGCGGACAGAGTAGAATTTTACACTTTCAGATTACACGTTAGCTTCGGAAAAACATTGAATAGTTAGAAAGATGTTCTATGCTGCCTTTCTTCTCGTTCTCCTGTTCAATTTTCTCCATTTTCGCTGTTAAGTGAACACATAACAACAAATGATTAAAAGAATAGGTAGGCACCCTAGCATATAAACAATATGGTGACATTATAATACAAGAAAGAACTGAAACACTTAATTTCCTCATTGGCTGGGTCAACGAACGGTTGTCAAAAGTCATATAAAATAAACAAAGATTGATTCGAGGTTGCGTTTTTTTTCGCAAGAACAACTAACACCTTCAGTTATTCTAAATAACTCTATTCAGGTTAATCATCTTCTAATCAAAGAAAACATTCAAACTAGCTAGTATTTACTTAAATTCATTTAAAAGAAAAGAAGGCGTTCAGCGAAGAGACTCTTTTCGGCGAATTCATTCACTGAGCTGTACAATCGCATATTTATACAACTTTTTTTGTGTGTGTGTACATTAGATTTATAAAGTTTAGATAATTATGTAATATAAGTATTTCTTGGCTTGGAGACAAACGTTAAGATGGAAAATAAAGTAGAATTGATTAAGTGAATTGGATGACGTAATACAGTTGAGTAGAATTCAGAGTAGGTCAGGTTGGCAACAGTGTTATTGAGTGGTGGTTAAAATTAAACAAGGATGGGGTTAGAGAATAATACACTTGAAAATAAGTAAGTCAATCGGATGACGTAACACAGTTGACTAGAAATCGGACGTCGGTCAAGTTAGTAACTTTGGTAATGAGGGTAGAGATTACAAAAGGGTGGGGTAGAGAAGAATATAAATGAAGATGTGAAATAATAAAATACAAGAGACAAAATAATACAATTAGTAATAGTGAAATTAAGAAAGATTACGTCCATTATAGATTTAATGAATGAACGAATTTCTTTTGTATGCAGAGTTCAGGATTTAGCAGATGAATTGCCATTGCTTCTGCGATGTGGAGAAGTTTGATCCGTACACTTTTAGCAAGATTGCCTTGTATTCTGTAGATAACTTTGAAGCTTATTTCTGGTTTGACTTGGTGTCCAGAGTCGATCAAATATTTAAGTATCGAGCTGCGGGGGCATCGGTTTCCTCCTTTATAAAACCGTAAATGTTCGTTGACGCGTTTGGATTGCGAACGCTGAGTACGGCCGACTCAATAACACTGTTGCCAACCTGACCTACTCTGAATTCTACTCAACTGTATTACGTCATCCGATTGACTTACTTATTTTCAAGTGTATTATTCTCTAACCCCACCCTTGTTTAATTTTAACCACCACTCAATAACACTGTTGCCAACCTGACCTACTCTGAATTCTACTCAACTGTATTACGTCATCCAATTCACTTAATCAATTCTACTTTATTTTCCATCTTAACGTTTGTCTCCAAGCCAAGAAATACTTATATTACATAATTATCTAAACTTTATAAATCTAATGTACACACACAAAAAAAAAGTTGTATAAATATGCGATTGTACAGCTCAGTGAATGAATTCGCCGAAAAGAGTCTCTTCGCTGAACGCCTTCTTTTCTTTTATATGACTGAATGGGGATTTTCAAGTTACTTAAATTCATTTCTCTCTCGCATTCATTCAGTGTGATTTACCAATGGCCACGTTGTGAGATATGAATAAACATTCGGAATGACTTTTTGAATCAATTACTACTGATTATTTATTTTTGAGTAAAATAAAAAGAGTGTAGCGGTAGAGTAGAGTTCTTTTCTGTAAGTTCTGTACACATTCTTATGCACAAAATATCACATTTTATTTATTTTGACAGTCAATAATTTGCTGAAACCAAGTTTTTAAAAAATCAGTAGCAAGAATAAATTTGACGGAGAAAACTGTCTGACTACGTCATCCATGCATCAGCCCATTTCAATGTAGTTAGATTAGAAAAATGTATATTTTCTCTAAGTTTTACGTCATTGCTTGAAGATTTGAGGACAGAAGTTCATACATTCCAATACAAACTGAAAAAAACACCGAATTATGCATGAAAAAAACAGTTTCACTTGGGCAAAGTTTCTTCACGAAACCGCCAAAATCAGGATGAATGCCTCTGCAAATTACCACGAATGGAACTTAGTTACCTTCAACCAAGAGATGTAAAAGTAGATTCATCTTTTACCTGCTTTGGATCACATGTAAAACAATATACTTGTGCAGCTAAATTCATCTACTTACCTAATTCATAAACTTTGAACAAGATATTGAATTCGATTGGTTTTCTACACTACCGTTGAAATTGACTGCTTGACGCATTGTTGTGGACAAGTGCTCCTGAAATGTGGAATCATTTTCTGATTTCAATCCATTTGCGTATGATGATGAATTAGTATTTGATGGGATCAATGATATCGCACGTTTTACTGTTGGACCAGACGTTAATTGTATAGAATTACTTCCGTTATTCAATTCATTAGAATTCATAAGTGATAAAGGTATAACTGGATGAAATGCCGCCATGTTGGAGTTCATTGCAGATGCAAACTAAACGGGTCGATTAAAAATTGGAATTATAGTTATCGTGTCAGTGGAAGACGTAAATTAACTTCAGCGAATGTAGTCACTTTTCATATGTATAATCAGGTCCTGAAACCTCTATATCTGACAAATCGAAATATTGACTTTTCAATTAGATCCACTTCTCTGGCTCTACTCTAATATGTATAGCATTTTTATTACAATACACAACAGTTCACCAATCAAGTGGTGATATGTTTGTTAACAATAATTAGTCAGTGTCAGAATGTCAATGGGTTGATATATTTTAGAGTAGAGCCAGAGAAGAGGATCTAATTGAAAAGTAAATATTTCTTGGCACAATCTTCCTGTTTTCTAAATGTCAAAATGGGGATTTTTTCTATATTGAAATCGAAATATTTCATTTGTAAGGGTAATAAATTTGTAACTCAGTGTGTAATGTTATTTAAGTTACTGGCGAAATTCCCACCACTCAAAAAATCAGAAGGAATGTCTACCGTTGAAAGTAGTGGTTAGGGGACATTTAAATAATAATAATAGCTGGTAAGAATTGGCTGTCAACTTGTAGGACAACGACTTCATCAAGCTCACTGAAGCAGCAAGAACAACATGAAATGCTACTGTGAAGCTGTATGACTCATATCAGCCTTCTTGTAACAGTTATATGATAATACGAAGCACATGATATAGTAATGCTGTTCGAAACACAATTGACTTCATTTATCATCGCTTAGCAAAAACGGTGCTACTTTCAATATTGTATGATCAAGACTGTTGGCCGTGCTTTGTTCTTCAATACTAACAGAAAAACTTTCCATGTGGTGCTTTTGTCCCTAATTACAGCCAACGAATATTATTATTAGTGAGAATATGTTCACCTATGCATAGGAAAATCGTCTTGTTAGTAATAATCTGAAATTGATAAATCAATAGACTTCTCAGTCATTTACATTGGGTTATGAAAGTTCCCTATGGAGTAAACGCATCTGCAATACTGACAAAGTGAAACATGTTTGCAAGTTCAGCTTTTGGGGATATTTTAAATGTGAGCTATATTCAAGTAAAACTAATTTCATTTGTGCTTCTGAGTGAAATCAAATTTGTATATTCAAAGAAATATCCGCAGCATACAGATCGCACACATTATTTATTGAAGACTTCAACGGAAGTTATATATGTCTAAACCAAGTTCACTTTTGACACTTTCAAAACATTTGGGCACTGAGTATGTGATATTGATTATTATAAAAGATTTTGTATTTCCCAGTGAATGAAAAACAAAACGATATTATTTTTCATTCATTGGGAAATATAAATTCTTAAAGTACTGATTTTGTGGGGATTTCGTTTGATTAGTTGTAGGGTTTCATCATGAGCTGACATCAGTTAGAGAACCACTGAAAAACCCAGGAGTACTGGACAGCTGTTTCGTCTTGGTTTGTGGCCCTTCATCAGTACGCACCCACCGGGGTTCAAACTCACGACCTTACGGTTACAAGGCGAGCTCGTAGACCATTAAGTCCATTATAATAATAGACTTCAGCTTAACTCAGTTAACAATGACATAGTGCAGAACTGCATGTGTTGGTTGTTTTCAGTTGATGAAATATACTGCACTGTCATTTGTTATATTATTGCTGCATTAAGAATCTAGCGATAATCGTCATAAAACTAAGGTGATGTATTACTAGGGGACTAGAAGACTTACAGACAAAAACCAACAAACTGACAGAAGAAGCAGCAAAGACAGTACTTCAAGTAGACATAAAAAAGTTGGGGGTGATGAAAGTAACTAGTCGACAAAACAAACCCCAGTCACTATCAGCGGAATAAATTTGAAAGAGGCCACTTCATTGATTTATCTAGGAAGCAACGTTTCAAATACAGGCACACGACAAGGATTAGAATGTTAAAATCAGAATCTGAAAGGCAAGACGGACATTCATCCTTCTGAAGTCACTGTGGAAATCTTTTGCACTCAGCACACATAACAAGATTCTGACTTTCGACACTAATGTTAGGTCAGTCAGTGCTTCTGTATGGGACAGAAACCTGGTCTGTGCGCCAGGACAAGAATTTCCAACGGGACATTCAAGGCCTTTATCAGCAGCTATGTTCGCTAGCTCCATACTGAAGATCGGACGACCGGTCGGAAAGAATTAGCAGCAAGAACCTCCGCGAACGAACTAGTCAAAAACCTGTTGCTCGAAAAATATCCAGAGGAAAGTGGAGATGGAGACCGTCAAATGACACCATGTGCTGGCCTGGCCATCACTCTAGTGGAACCGAAAAGGGGAACAAAGACTTGGTTGTCTTAGGGTGACATGGAGGAGATTTTGTGAGGAGGGATGAGAAACTATGGGACACAGTGGGACCAGCTAAAGAGGACTTCAGAAAATTGGACAAAGTGGAGATGTGCTGTTGAAGCCCTGTGTTTCACTCGGAGCCCTGCGGAACAATAATAATAAATAGTAGAACATTACGTTCACAGGCAACTCGATAGTTTTCTTATATCTGCTCAAAGGTATATTCAAACTTACAAAACTGCTTAGTCATAATTGTTTCATGCACTCTTTTCTAAAACACGTATTTAACTGGTTATAGGTCGTCGAAGTGAACACTAAATCACTCATACTGATATATCCAATTCCCAGTTTTACAGACATGCATTCAATGAAATCAAGTGTTCCGATGTAACATTGTCTTTTTCATTGAATAACCTACAATCTTACCTAAATGATGACAACAAATGGTTCATGAACAATTCAAATTCACAACTCTTTATAATGTAATATAAACTGACCATATTCTCGAGTGTCTAACAATTACACTGCAACTAGACACACATCTGATGCAAGTACAAATTACCTGAACACATATGCATACATTTAATTAATCTAGAAAAATAAACTGTGAACAGGAATAATATCTTCGCTAAAGAATCACTGACACCTTTTTTAATAAGCATACAAAAAAATCATCTTTTAATCTCAAACGACTTGAAAACTAAGTGCAGACAGATGCAATACACTGGGGTACATACACATTATGTGAGAGTTAATAATACTATATGGTCACCATAACTCTAGTAAGCATAACGATGTTTTGAATTCATGATCCACAAGACTGAAAGCTGATTACTTAAGTTAATACATATATTTTATTCCTTCACGTTCCCAGTGGAACATAGGGGTTCAAACTAGAGGCTTGAAGTTTCCGTAGCAGTGCTTATTTTAACAGGATAGGGTTGCCAGCCACATGCCCAACCTTTCCTCTTTACCAGCTTTTTTTTATTACTGGCTTAGCGAGGTAAAGGAGTGCATCGGCCGGGCATTGAACCCCGGACCATGTGCACGGTCGGTGAGCGTCCTAACCGCTGTGCCAACGACGCACAAGTTATATATATATATATATATGTTTATCATCTTCATAGCAGAATTTTTTATTTTGCTTTGGAAGTTACATGTAAATAAGCATAATATCATAACTTATATCAACTCATAAAAATGAGTATTCAACATACCTCTTCGTATAGTCTTAAGCGAGTTTTCAGTCGTTCAACTTCAGCAGTTAGTCGAGAATTTTCAGATTCCAATTCTACTTTTTTCCAGGATAACAAAATAATAAAATTAATATTTATTCATTCTTTAAAACAAAGCAATATGAAGAATAAAAGTTTAGGGTGAACAAGTGAAATTATATTTCCATAAAATAAAAACAAAATGATAATTAAAATACACCAAATCCCCTTGTATCCTTTCCATTTGTTTTTGGACTCTATAAACACGGAAGTCAGCATGATCTGTTCAACAGAATTAGGGTGAACTTGTATGTAATTACTCTAGTGGATTTTGTTTTAAAAAAAACAAAATACTATCAACCACACATTTCAGAACACGGGGAAGTTAATGTGATTGATTAATCTCCAACGGATTTTAAGCTAAAAATGTGCAATCATCAATGCAAATTAATCTGGGAATTGAATTTCATCAGTGTATCTGGAAAATATCAGTACATATACCAAGTGATCTAATGTTTCTTATACTGAAGCATGCTAAAGTGACTCTAATCCACAATTTTTATATTCAACATTGCTAAGTGATTATTGACACATCTAATAAATTAAACAAAGTGAAGACAGAATTAGTTTACAATGTAAAACAATGGAATAAAGGACTGTATATACACATTGGGTAGCTATTTCAAACGGATCTAGAGAAAAACTGTTAATTACAAAAAAATGTTTACTTAGGAGTTAAACGTTTCCCATGACCAACTAGTTAATTAAAATCCACATAAGTAAATAAGACTGTCTACTATGATGGAGTATATAGAATATTTAGCCAGTTAGATTTGCTTACTTTCAAACCTGTTGTTTTTCTGCCATTTATAGGATTTCTGTAGATATGACTCATCTCCCTCCAAAAAGAACCGAAATACCTTAAATTAATCTGATTAGATTAAAGTTGAGCAGCTGAAATATCATAGGAAATGTTTATAAGACTAAAGCACCGGTGCGTCGGCAGAAGAAAAGAGAATTCCGTAACAAAATACGTAGATGTAGTGGCAAAATACGTTTACCACATATCAGAATCATAATTTACGCAATTTTTTCGGTATTGTATTTCTGTCTTCACTTTCATGTCTTCCACATTGTTTCACAAGCACCGTTCATTAAATCCAACTTTCCGCTATTTAATATTCTTGCAGTTGATATGCATCATGTCCACATCTATACACCACTAATAAATCTCGTCAGTAGCACGCACCACACCATTCCTTACCAGTTTTTCCTTCCAAACAGCAATTAGAAGACTGTGACGTGAACAATTGAGAAGTATTCGTCAAATTAATCAGTAAAAGTGAGACGGAATGAGGATAATACAACCACCTTAGCCTTTAAATTGTCTTCAGATTTCTTAAATGGAACTGCTAGATAGAAATAAGAAATTTCTGCCTTATTTCTTTCTCATTTACAACAAAACAGGATCAAGTATCCAGATACCAGACAATCAGATTATTTCGTAAGCTTTAAAACATTCTCAAGGCTGGGTTTAGATGAGTGAATAATTATACTATAATGCTTTGAATGTAGAAAGACTGTTACTTTCTTTCAAAAAGTAACTCTCTGTGCATAGAAACCAGCATACAGGATTTTGAGCAAAAAAATTAACTTGACAATCTAATGAATTATGCATTTCTCTATCTTCAAACTATGTTGCGCTGATTGTCAATTATATCTTATTCAAGGTATCAGCGTTGTTATCACAGACGCGCAATTTGAATTATTTAGTAGAGTTATTTTTGTTTTTTCCGTATTTATCACCAACACCAATTTCCACAAAAGTGTGTGTAAAACAGTATCGGGTGTTACCCATATGTTTTGAAATGTTTGATGACAGAAATTAAGGGTTACTTGCAACCACAAAATGCAAAACTTAACCACTCTATACTACGACAATTAGGTGTTTTTTACAGAAGTCATACCAGGTTGTGCTCACACAGTGCAAGGTTAGTTAATCAGCGTTCATATCCAGTGCAAATTCACTTACACTACCTGTGAAGTTGCATTGCAAGTGATACCGAAAATGTCAGCAAAGAATATACAAAGCAGTTAAAACTCTGACAAAAAAATATTTGAGTCAGAAGAAATATTCTCACTATTAGTGAAAAGAGGACTTTACCTTTATTTCTCACATTTTCATCCTGAATGACTTTAGTAGCTTTTTTTGTAGTTAATCTATTGCTGACTTCTTTCAGATTTTCCAATTCATTTCCTTCTTTCATGGAGTCCATCACTTCAACTCTTTTTGCATGATATCTTTTCGAATGTTCCAGATTTTTCTCATCATCTTGCTGAAATTCTTCAGAATTTGTAATATTTTTGCCATCATTCAATTGATTGTTGTTACTGTTAGTATTGTAATTTTCACTTTTACTCATATGACCATTGGTTTTCATTTCAAAATTTGCCTTATCACTTAATGAACAGGTTCTACCAAATGAAGAATGTGGTAGTGTAGAGATTCCAGTAACCCCAGATTCATTCACTATTGAGGGTGAAAATTTTGACAGACTGCTCTTTAACTCAGCCAGCTTGTAGCGAGCGAAACTTTCTGAAACTGCCTCCTCGATAAAATTCTGCAAAACGAAGAAAAAACCAAAAATGTTGTGTAAAACTAAAAAAAAAGAAGATATGCTATGTACTGAAAGTTCATTGTTATTCCTCGTAATATTCATTAGATAGTGCAGTGAACAAGTTACAGAATGAAATAAACATATAGTCCGACATTTTGTTGACAAGCTACTAAGCAAACACCTAGTGGAAACGCGAATAAAAAGACAATTGTCAAAGTTATCACACTTTGCGAAAGCAAAAAAAGTAAAAGTAAGTATACACACCAAAATTACAAGCGTCAAAAATCCTCAACGATAAGATGGCTTTAAAATACATAGACATAAAAAGTGAAAGAAGACAGAATTGTAGCAGTAACATCGGCGTAATACTCAGGCTCTTTCAGTATTCAGTGATCGGTTTCTGACGTAAACGCTGTGATATCGAAAGAAAAAGTGAACGATAAAAAAGGAACAACTAAACCGGAAAAATAACCATTGTTTAAAAGCTGAGAAAGGTGATAAAATATATATACTTTGACTGAGCTGTAGTCATCTCACTAACAGTCTTTAATGTGAGCGGCCTACTTAAAACTTGGGCTACCAAAATTTTCCGTCACTTATATTGCATCTGATTTCTTGGATTTATTTTGTTTTAATCATTCAATTGTGTCCAAATCGTATTACTTACTCTCGCGATTATTTAAAATGTTTTCAACCGGATGATTTACGAGTATATAATAACCTTAAGAAAAAGCATCATGGTGGGTGGCAAAGATCCTTAAAGTGTACTCCAATGCATCAGATGACTGTTCCTGTGATTATGAGCACAAATTGCAGGTCATTATCGAACAAGATTAATCACTTGGATGCTTTATTATATTCAAATATTTATCGTAATACAGGTGTAATAACGCTTCAGGAAACTTGGCTACACGACTCATATGATGATAATTTAATCTTACTAAATGGTTTCAATATGTACAGACAAGACCGAAGTAGTTCAAGGAAGAAGCGAGGTGGTGGTGTTGCTACTTTCATCAATTCTCAGTGGTCTGTTGCCAACAACGTCTGTTTTAAATTCTCAAATGATAATATTGACTGTATAACTGTCAAATGTCGACCTAAACACCTATCTAAATACAAATTCATTTATATCACGAATATTTATATCACACCTTGTTGTAGCACTTCAGAATTATCTATGCTTGCTGATGAATTCACTATTTTCGCTGCCGCCTCTTTTGGTAACTCCCTGTCCATAGTGACAGGTGATTTTAATTCATGTGACTGCAGCTTTCTCACAGTGATAGGTCATGAAAATGTTGTTAACTTTCCCACCAGACTGGATAATTCCCTTGATCTTGTATTTATAAATGACTCCGGAATATACGAAGCTCGTAAAAGAGCTCCACTGTTTAACTCAGATCATTGTATTGTACGGGTTTTACCTAAAATTTATGGAAAATTACACAAGAGAACTTTTTCACACCTTTCCAAGAAAACTGTACATGGATGTTACTCTATGGAGAATGTTCAGAACCTCAGAAGCATGCTCAAAGATACAAGGTGGGACCTGTTTAAAGAAGACTCTCTTGATGACACAATCTCTAATATTACAAGTTATCTCAAATTTTGTCTTGACACCTGTTGTCCCAGAGAAACCCTCTTCATCAGATTTGACCGTTTCTCCTCTCCTCAACTTAAAAAGCTTCGCAGACAAAAAGAAAAATTATATAAAATGAAGGATAATGCTGGTTTGAAAAGAATTAACATCCTAATAAAGTCTGAAATGCACAGATTGAATTCAATTTACAACCAAAAGTTTATATCCTGTAAAAATGCGTCTAATATATGGAAACTTTTCAAAGAAATTACTGGTGGTAAGCAGATGAACAGTATTCCTTATTCCCTTGATGTTTGCACACTAAACAAGTCCTTCATACATTCTCCCACAAATGCCAAACTTTCTAGTGTTACAAGTATTAATGAAACCTGCTTCCCTGGATTTACTACAAATGATGTTCTAAAATGTCTCCAGTCTATGAACCCTTCTTGTAGCCTGGGTCCAGATGGTTTGCCTAGTATTATTCTTAAAAATGTGCAGATATCCTGTGTTATCCTCTCATGGACATATTTAATGAATCTTTTTCCAAAAATGTCGTGCCAGCCGTTTGGAAGGACATTAAAATTGTACCTATTCCTAAGTCGTCTACTGCGACATGTTTTAAATTTAGACCCATTGCTATTACTTCCCCTTTTCTAAAAGCTATGGAAAAGTTGCTCTTACTTAATCTTCAACCTTCACTTAAAGCCTTTAACGATCCCAAACAATTCGCCTACAAACACAGTAGAAGTACTTTAGATGCAGCTGCAGTCTTGTATCATAACATTGTCTCCAGCTTAGACAAGGGGGCTAAATTTGTTCGCTGCACCTTTCTAGATTATACATCTGCTTTCGACTCAGTACCTAGGGACATTTTACTAAACAAGCTTGCTGAAACTCAAACTGACTGTTGGGTTGTCAAATGGCTCCATTCTTATTTCTCAGGAAGAAAGCAATACACTGTATGTCAGGGAAAGTCGTCCACTTCATTGCTTACTGAGGCTGGTGTCCCTCAAGGCGCTGTCCTTTCTCCTTTTCTGTTTTCTTTCTTCTTGCATGACTTGCCTCACTCCGATGAAATGAACTTTGTTAAGTATGCCGATGATCTAACTATTTCAATGTCTGTTAACTCTCAGCTTGACTGCACTAAGATAAACAACTTTCTATCAGAAATTAGCAAATGGTCTTCGTCTAACGGCCTTAAAATTAATCCTTCCAAATGTCAGACTGTTAATTTCAGTTTCCGATGTAAACGAAAGTTAAATGAAGCCGTTGGTTCCTATGACCCTTGCAAAATCGATGATACTGATATAGAAAGCAAGTCTGAAGTTAAGTATCTTGGATTAATTCTCTCTTCTGACCTATCCTGGTCCTCTCATGTCTTAGCGATTTCTAAAAGAATATTTTGTTTGACTTTTTACATTAAGAAGTTAAGGCACTCAGGCATAACTCAACCACTCCTCTTACAGTTTATCAACTCGTGTATTTTACCTATTCTTCTTTACTGTTCACCATTATTCTTTCCTGGATTGCTTAAAAAGGACTATGTCATACTTCGTAGAACTCTGAAGACTGTCAGTAGGACGAGTGGTATCCCATTGGGCCATATCGTTAGCATTGTCACTGATAGGCATTTGATGTCATGCAACAAATTCGCTAAAGGAATTTTGTCAGACTCTGAGCACCCACTCTACCCGCAGCTCCAACCTTGTGTCTCCTCAGGTAAAACAAGAAGTCTTTTCAGAAGAATTTATGCACGTACGTCTAAGTATAAAAATTCCACTATACCATACTTAGCACGTACTTTATGTGATGAAAATAGCGTCAGAAATGAACTAACTAACCTTCTTTGCATCACTAAATAAACCATTTCCTTCACCCTTAAAGCATCATACTTTATTGTTATTGTATTTCTTATATTATAATCCTCTCAATTTTTCGTTTTGTTTATTTCTTTTCATAAGTGTGGACATAATTTTAAGCTGTATTATGACTGTTAATTTTGTATTTCCCCTCACTATACTATATCAACAGAACATTAGACCCAATAATCTATAACATGCTAAAGTTTCCAAACTGAATCGAAAATACCGTTTGAAACAAACTCACTGTTATTATTATTATATCTAATAATTATGTCGTAAATGTGGACAAATTCCTCCGATTAATTTTGTTTTAATTTTTAATTTTATATATATTTTGAGTAAATCAGATGCAATATTGTGACAAATACTGAGAGTTCCATTCTGTATTATAAGTACTGTTTTTGGAATAAAGTTAATTATTATCATTATTATTATTATTAATCATTCTTTTATAAAACCAAAACCTTCAGCCTAATAACATAAAAATTCACAAAAGCAATTCAGATTGACTCATTTCTACTGAGGTTAGATGGGCGCCTCAACATACTGAACACATGTCCAAGACACTTTGATCTGCTGAGATCAGCAAAGCGATCAAAATCACTGCAAAACTATAAAAGTATAAAATTCTCCATCTTATTTAGCTCAGCACATGCTTAAGCATATATCAGTAAAACATTTCCACAACTACAGTATTTGTGTAACACACAGTCATTCTCGTATATATTCCCCTTAGTAGTAAGACAGATGATAATGTTTTGTGCATTTATGTTTTACTACAATCATTTCGTCAATTTTTCCGAAACATATTAAAAGAAACTTTCATTTAGGTGTTCTAATGATATCTTGGATAAAATGTGAGAGGCATGAAAATATTCTGAAACAAATTAGAAATCTTGAATAATTCTTCAACGGAAATATGATGAATTAAACAAAACAGCTGAGACTGGTGCCATAATTATTATTTATTATTATTATTGTATCCTTTAATTCCTAGAGGAACATAGGGCTTCAGCCGTGCGTCTCCATTGCGTTCGGTTCTCTGCTAGAGTCTTCACCTGGCTCCATGTCTGCCCACACGTTTTCATCTCCTCTTCACATGATCTCCTCCAAGTCACCCTTGCACTGACGACCACCTCGCCGCTTCCCTTTCGGGTTCCACTCGAGCAATGGATTGTCTAGTGATGTCACTTGATGCTTTGTTTTCTCAGAGTATGGCCAATCCATCTCCATTTCTTCCTGCTTATTTGTTGCACAACCGGTTCCTGGTTGGTTTGCTCCCAGAGATCTCTGTTGCTGATCTCTTCTGGCCATCTGATCTTGAGTATTGAGGGAAGACAACTGTTAATGAAGGTCTGTAGTTTGTTTGAGGTGCTCTTTATGACGCGCAGTGCAAGTGTCTGATCCGTATAGTAGCACTGACTTCACATTGGAGTTGAAAATCCGGATCTTATTTTTGATGCTGAGTGCCATAATAGAAGATGTTTTATATGAGTACTGGATAAAAGACTAACATGAAGTCATAGTTTTGCATGGAGGCCAAGACTAACTCATAT